TATATGCCTCCCTGGCTGATTGCCTCGATTTAAGTCTGATTAAGCTATGTCATTGTAACCGGAATACATAAATGCCATGTGAAATAGTATATATACTATTTATATCAAGACATCTATATTCAACAGTTGATACAACATGTGTTTAAAAACATATACTGACGTTTACCTTTATGGATGTTTGAAGAGAATAACTTCACCAGATCACCAGATTTCAAATCATTTAGACATGATCGTTTATAGAGCCAATGCTTAGCCGTGTTTATACATTATATAGTTTGATAGTAAGCTAACAAATCATTGGCTAACAGCCGGGGATTATAGCGCGATGACGCTGTACGGCGTGTTTACGAACCCAATGCATGAATGAGATTTTACCTGCGTAAACCCCGTTTCTTGTTATTAGTGAAACGTGTCTGTACGTTTGCGGACCACAATTTAACTTGTTCACACTACTAGTACATTTGACTCGGTGACGACGAACACGAACGTAAGTATATATTTATGTAACTGAACATATATATCGTGATATTTGTATGTACGTGTTGTGGTTGTGTGTACAGGTGTAAACCACGTGTGTGAGATCATACGATATCGGACGATCAACAAAGGAAGTATATACCTGTACCCGGTGATAGCCTTTTATGTTGTAGACATTTCATGTCTTCATTTTAAGTTGATTTCCTAATGCAGAGCCATTGATACTTGGATTGATGTTGGGGAGAGGGTTGAGTTGGAGTCATTGATACTCGATCCAAGTTATTTAACTTCATTATGTTATAGTATATGTGTAAGAAAGCGTTGACGGACACTAGGCTATTACAGAGGGGGTTACAAGTGCCGTGTGACGAACATACCTGTACTTCTCACCTCGCAATAACACAAATAGGAAGTAAAAAAAAATCTCGCCTTGTTAGTACCCATAATCTAGTTCTTCGCTCTTTTCTGTGAATTTCACTTATATTTGTATGAACTGTAGGTTCGGAAGGTGATCGTGATTTTTGGATTTTTTAGTTACAAATCAACTAAGCATGATATGGATAATTTATGGTTAATTATCGTGGGTAATTATGTGGAAGCTGGATAAGCGTAACTCCAGTGTCAGACAAGGAACAACACTTTGAATACAAGGGGAAATATGTTGGAGAAAAATTGTAAGTTGTACATTCTAAGTTAAATATTTTGATATGCATAATTCTATAACATTCATACTCACCCAATACTTAAATGAGTGAGGATAACATTTCCTGAATGTAGTTTTCAAGGAATGGTATATTTGAGTATTGGTATTTGGTTAACTATAAAATGGCTCCTAGACATACCAGAAAGCTCTCAGAGTGTAAAATAAATTCATGCGACCAACTTTGTCGCTGGTCTAATAATGGCATTGTTATGAATGCACGGGTGAACAAGTATATATGTAGTGTAATGAAGATTAGAGCATTCATCACGGCTCTCACACTATACACCGTCCCTTTCATGGTTTACGTAACTCATAATTAGCCATAAAAGGTGAACTGGTGTGCAGGAGACTGGAAGCAATTCACTTATAAATTGTGAGAGTTGGGAAGTATTAATTTAACAACACAACACAACACAACACAATACAGTTCAATACAATGCAATACAATACAATACAACACAACACAACACAACACAATACAGCACATTACAGTTCAATACAATACAGCAAAACAACACAATACAATACAACACAACACAATACAGTTGTTTATAATAGTGTCATAAATCATATTTACATGTACACGTAAACTGCAGAAACGTGCATCAAATTTGTAAAACATAGTATTAAAAAACATAAGTTCTATCAGAATGAATTTCCATGACGTTTTGTGATTTGATGTATAAAGAAATATTGAATAACTACCGCTAGTTCCACCGAATGACATAAATGGAGTTTCCAAGAAACGCTAAAAAGATACAAATGAGCGTTGGCAAGCAAGATGTTTGGACAGTCTATTGTGTAGTTGGATATGAGACCTATTTAAATTTGTTGGTTATGATCATATCTGCGTAATTACTAATTCATGTCTAGACGTTTATGTACAAGTGATCGCCATGGATTTTGACGTGGACAGTCTACTGTGGATTTTAACACAGTCATGTTCCAAGTTTTTTTTTTAATATTTTAAGTGTTTTTTTGGCTAATCGGTTACAACACATATATATATAGAACACTTGTTGCAAAGTACAATGTACAAGTAAACAAACATATGAGTGTTGAGAGACATGAATAGGTTATCGCAAACCCCACGATAACCTTATAACATTTTCGATAAAGTCCATCAAGTTGATGTAATGATACTAGTATACCCGATCAGTCGGAGATAATACTTGAGTATTTTTCAAAGTTTGAAAGTGTATCCTTTACAGGTCTATAAATGGCCAAGTTGGATAAATATCGGCATATATTTTTGCCCAGTTTGTGTGTTGTAAAGCAAGTTTTCTTTCCATGCATACATTGTAGTAGTAGTTTTTTCCTTTTTATAAATCTTATAATTTGTACCATTGGCTTTGATTGTAATCCAATGCCGTGTTTATAATAATCTTATCTTTCTTTCTTTGACAACAAATTTTTGTTCAATATATTTTACCTATCGTTTCCTTTATAGAAAAAATACCCACGATTTCCTTTATGGAAAATTTACCCACCATTTCCTTTATGGAAAAGTTACCCACGATTTCCTTTATAGAAAATTTACCCACGATTTCCTTTATGGAAAAGTTACCGACGATTTCCTTTATAGAAAATTTACCCACGATTTCCTTTATGGAAAAGTTACCAACGATTTCCTTTATGGAAAATTTACCCACCATTTCCTTTATGGAAAAGTTACCCACGATTTCCTTTATAGAAAATTTACCGACGATTTCCTTTATCGAAAGTTACCCACGATTTCCTTTAAAGAAAATTCACTCATGATTTCCTTTGAAGAAAATTTACCCACGATTTCCTTTATGGAAAAGTTACCGACGATTTCCTTTATGGAAAATTTACCCACTATTTCCTTTATGGACAAGTTACCCACGATTCCCTTTAAAGAAAATTTACCCACCATTTCCTTTATGGAATAGTTACCCACCATTTCCTTTATAGAAAATTTACCCACGATTTCCTATAAAGAAAATTCACCCACGATTTCCTTTAAAGGAATTTTACCGACGATTTCCTTTATAGAAAATTTTACCCACGATTTCATTAAACGCAAATTCGCCCACAATTTCCTTTAAAGAAAATTTACCCACGATTTCCTTTATAGAAAATTTACCCACGATTTCCTTTATAGAAAATTTACCCACGATTTCCTTTATAGAAAGTTACCCACGATTTCCTTTAAAGAAAATTCACCCACTATTTCCTTTATAAAAAAGTTAGCCACAATTTCCTATAAAGAAATTTACCCATCATTTCCTTTATGGAAAGCATGTGCCCTTATAAGATACCAATTGTTTGTATCACGGACTTAGGTATAAGATCTATGTCCGTGTATGTACCAAGAACAGTTTAGATTTTTACGTAACAATTGGCCTGTCCCGCATTTCCCAAGAGGTCACACCCTGCACGAGAATTTGGTCAAGGTCTATTCAATCGTTCTTGACCATTGCTTACACAATAAACAACACCAGTTACTAACAATAGCACGTTAAGATAGTACAGATATGCTGCCAGGGTGATGAGTAGGCGTGTTTTACCAGTCTCCGTTCAGAACGCGTGCACCATAATGATAACACTTCAACATTCTTTCAAATATCAGTCGGGAACGATTTCAAGTACTGTATGTATGTACTTATGCACGTGTGCATTGCGATCTTATTGAACATGTCCTTTGGATGGTGTCCCAACCTTTTGGTCAGTTTGATCAACCAATGGTTAGCTTGTTGATGACTACAATGTATGTAAAATACGGTGATTCGTTGGCGAGGTTTGTACGACCAGACACGTGCATCTATGTATAACACCGCGTCCTTGGAAGGATTAAATGCGGCGATCAAAGGTACGTGCATGCATGTCTGAAATATGTGTTACTTGAAGTATAATATGTTTTGAGAAGTTTTTGTATATATACCGAGGTAGTAAGAACGTAAGGCTGACCAAATTCAAATACCTTAACACAATCAGGTCATTTCTATCTCTATAAAAATATTATGATACCGTTACGATTGATAATAACGTGAAGATCATAAAAAGGTGAGACAGTGTACGTGTTGGTATGTATAAACCAATGATGTCTGGTGCCGAAATGTTTCCAGTTCGGTGGTTTGGTGACTCGTCGAAGACTCGGACACGTGTAGGTTCCGTTGGCGATAACCATACTAGACAGGTTACAAAGGGATAGGCGAACAAACGGAGAGATGTTTACTAATAGATCGAGTATGACGGGCATATATACAGTGTTGAAATCAATCTTGTGTATAAGCAGTGAAACACTGAAAAGTATTAATTACAGGTTAAAACTGCTGAGTCCAAGAATATTGCTTGATAATAGTTTTATCACTATGTCATTTCAATTAAGATTTTCCATCCTGTCCACACGTCTCTATATGTTATTTTACAACCAGTAAATATAGGGACATTTTAGAATGTTTCTGGGGGTGGGGTGGAGTGGGGTGGAGTTGGGGCGTGTGTGGTAAACTGTTGTAGTATACTATAACTATAACCTCTTCCACGGAAACGTTGTTACAATGCCATATATTATCCATATGGAAACACAGGCTTATACCACAGGGACCTAAAGCTGCACCGAACAACTTAAAACTCCAATGTAGTCTCTTTCCGTCCAACGTCCCCCCATCTCTCACAGGAAATCGATTAGGGTCTGGTCTTCTCTCGTGGGACTCCGCACTGTTTATTTACATTTATAGTCAACACCGGAAATTCTCATCACGTGATGACGTATTGTGTGAGATTTTAGTGCGAAAGTGAAATTGACGTGTATTACTGTACCAACCGCAGGCTTTCAGTCCATCACATACAGACAACAAGACAACAAGCACAAAGTCATGTACATGTAACACGTTACGGTAAGTGTAGTCTGTCTAAAAGTTAGAATTTTGTCTTTATTGATTGATCAATGAAATCGCCGTCAATGCTATAAGTATTATTCAGTTACTTAAAAACGATCTTTGAAGAGGATGATCATCCATCACCATCTTGATCGCGTGGTCACCATAGCGACGTGTTTATATTGAACAGTCTTTCATGATAAACTTAACTGCATAATACTAATCTTAATACTTAATTATAGTCAATACTTAAATATACTTAATTATTTTTAGTCCATCATTTTTGTCTTGACGTTCAAATATTGTTGCAGACAGGCAGCAGTGAATCCCCATGTATGTGGTTTAACGAGGCCAATCGCGTACAAATCTCCCGCTGTTCTTGAAGAAGTGACCTTTCAATGACCCCTGCCCTCACTCCTCCACTGTCCGACTGCAGTGGTGTTATTAGAGCCTCCGTTTGTTATCGTAAATATACACGTGTTACTTACTGCCTGTCGGATCAGTGGTAAAACGAATGAGGACGAGGTCCGTGTGGATACTGTTATCGCTCTAATCGTTCCATACATACTTGTGTCCTGAGGATAGTTGGGTACCGTACTGTTTGTATTTTCAATGGAAAGGACAACTCGGCTCGGAACACTGACGTGTCTGGTATATTACAATATGTTTCAACAAATTCGGTTGGGATATCAAGGATACAAACTTCGAGACTAATGTTCTTGGAAATATTAGTATTGATACTATACTATCCGCTGTTTGTATGGACGTATTCAAACACCAGTAAGTATATACGAATTGTTCTCCCCTCTGACCCTACATATACATGTATATATCAATGCCATTACTATGTAGGGGCGGTATTATATATGTTTATATATGTATTTTTTCATTTGACTTGAGGTATTAAAATGGTCACCTGTACTGGTCTCTGACATCCTAGAGATGTTGAATGGCATGCAGGGCCTCTCAGTCAGACTACTATTCATGTCAACATTGATATGGGATGTTACCCTTTGGTATAAAACAAAGCAAAGTGTTCGATGTGTTTTATGAAGACAAATGAAAAGCAATTGTTGTCGGTCATACTTACCATATATTTCACAGGGTTTGATAAAAAGTGGGCCAAATGAAGACAGTAACAGGAAACTGTCCCCTCTATCTCCCCAACCACACTTGATTTGTATGGTTGGTGACGTCACCGCTGTGGCGTGATTTTTCACGCCATTGTTACGAAATGCAATGTTAGGTCTCGTTAAAACTATCAGGTCAGGTGTCCTTGATGTGAAGAATTAGGTAACTTAAAGAAAAAAAACTATCAATGTAAATGAATCCCCTTCATTTGAAAAAATCGGATATCCCTTGTAAAAACTTTTTCCTTTTATAGAAATGTTTAGAATCATACAACTGCCAATTTTATGACATAGACATTGGGTGATCAAAGACACAGGCAGCAGAAATGCAGATTGTTTTATAGTATAATATATTTTTTTTCTTGAGAAAAAAGTTTTTCTCTTAGTAGATCAGATTGCTTATCTGAAAAGACATGCGCTGAATGTGTCTATTAAATTTGATGCTCTTTCATCTCCAATGTTCAAAGTGAGTACGTGGCGGAGCTACAGTCGTTTGTTTATCGGGACATTAACCCGCGATGTACAGTTACGTCATCTCAATTAATATGTGTAATTATGTGCACTAGGTTTTTTAATTATATAGCAGAGAGAACACTTCACTGAACTCTTTAACTGAAGGAGGGGAGTGGATCAAATCTTAGTCTTGAACGGTATATGAGAGATCGAGTTTTTTACACTTCAATAAAAATAACTTGTAATGATATCAAAATAGAGCGATGGAGGTCATGTAATCTTACCCTCACCTTATTTACACTCGTCTCGATTCATGAATCCTTACCCTCGCCTTATTTACACTCGTCCCGATTCATGCCTGTGTAATACTACTGGGACTATCGGTGTTTAGTAATACTAGACAAATGTCATCAACCGCGGGAACTACTCTTTGACTGAGATATACTCAAATATCCGTATCAAAATCAGTCATAAAGTTCACATCTGATGTTAAACTTCAATCGTAATTATGACGACGAATGAGAAGGAAGTCAAGCACTGCACAACGTTACACAGTTATTACGGACTGTGTCGAGAGTGTACTGGAGGTGATCTCACACGCACATTGTTGACGTAACGGATGTACCACTCATTCAGCATCCGCAACACAAAACGTCAGCAGCTCGACGAATCTTAGTACATGTTGAGTTAGGTACGTTCATAAACACAGGTAAAACTACTATGGCTGGTATAGAGTGACGTTCACTGACGGATAAATTATAGATGGCCGATATAGAGTGACGTTCAGTGACACAGGTAAATCTTAGTATGGCTGATATAGAGTGACGTTCACTGACACAGGTAAATCCTAGTATGGCTGATATAGAGTGATGTTCACTGACACAGGTAAATCTTAGTATGGCTGATATAGAGTGACGTTCACTGACACAGGTAAATCTTAGTATGGCTAATATAGAGTGACGTTCACTGACACAGGTAAATCTTAGTATGGCTGATATAGAGTGACGTTCACTGACACAGGTAAATCTTAGTATGGCTAATATAGAGTGACGTTCACTGACACAGGTAAATCTTATTAGGGCTGATATAGAATGACGTTCACTGACACAGGTAAATCATAGTATGGCTGATATAGAATGACGCAAAATGTTGCCATCATATACATAATGATATGTATCGGGAGGATTTTGCTAGTTTATTTAGAAAATTACATTTTTTAATATAACTGGCATACTGCACATATTAACCCACAATGTTTGGACCAAAATGGATCAAATTGACACGGATTTTAAAAATGTCCTTCTCAACAACCAGGTTATGATAGAATCAAATACTCTTCATGGATGGAAAGGACCTCAGGTAGTTTGTCAACATTATGAATTTCATTAACCTAGCCTCTTACATTTTCCCCTGGGGAGGGTTAGATGTAACGATGGTGTACATGTATATGGCAAAAAAGACATTTTTGAGCATAAGTCATTTAATTCCTGTTTGAAATATTTCAAGCTTTGTTTGAATTTTCAGTATAGGAAGACAGTTTCATGACATGCACATATTGATTCTGGCTGACTCACGGGTTATGTACTAGGTCAACAGGGGACAAATTAGTCATAAGGTGCCTTACCAAAAGTATGAATTCCATGACACCAGGGTCTTACATTTCCACCGGGGAGGGGAACATTCAAAGTTATCTTACTGTTGATAAGATCATGTCAACAAAACAAATTACAATAACATTGTCAGCACCGTAAATCAGATGACTATTAAGGTCATTCGGCCTCTTGTTTTGCCGTCCTTGTCAAAGGGTGGTCATTCAATCATTACCTTTCATTACTGTACCTGTAGTATACAATGTTCTAGCAATTCCAACTCAAAGAATGTAAATAGGGTTATGTTCAAGTCTACCTATCTTAATAAAAGTGTATCGTAAATCTGTAATTGCAATACATGGCATTCGAGTTATTATTCTTGTTTTACGAAATGATTTTGTTGTGTTGTAACGACAACAGAATTGACAATTTTGATAAAACTCGCGTGGTCGGTAACATTTGAACCTCATTTTCTGCGGAGAACTATAGATTAAATATAACTGACTATAAATATCCAACATTTAAGTATTATACCTCACAGACTAACCAAGCTATAAACCTACCGACAACATTTTCTCATTGCCATCTTTTTATTTTGCAATCTCAGTCGTTCGAAGACAAACTAAGGTATCAATGTCCAATGCAAGCCCTGCCCACTTCCGTTTGACTGTTTGGATACACGTGACATGATGACTAGATTTCGACGTAAATCAGTATTTTTTGGTTTGGTAATCTAAGAGCATAATATTAAATGTTTATCGATTTAGGATTTATTGTAATGAGTCCGTCAGCTGCTTACGGAGTTGTCCACGACAAATGGCCGATATCTGCACATGGGTTTACCAACATCTGTTTCGATAAACGATGGAAAATGTTTTCAATGATTGTCAAAACCTGTGAAGTTAAGAAAAAGTACATGTATTGCAAATCACATCGTCCTTTTTTCGTGATCTGATGAACCGATTGATATCGTTTGTGTGCTATCCCCTCTCGCCCCACCTCCACTTCCACACTAAGAAAAGAATTTTTCAAAATGTCACTTGTGTTATTACTGGACATAAACTGGTGAATATTCTGCCAAGAATTTGGGCGGAGGGCGCACGATTGAGATTACCTTTTGTTACAGTATCAAACTGACAGGACCTGCTTGAAATTAAGGTAGGACGAACATTCGATTTTACACGTCAAGATAAGTATACACATATGTATGTCAGATTTCTGATTTGGACTAGAACAGTGTCCTAGGTGCCAGAAATCGACACGGTTTGCTAACGATGTGTGTGTGATACACATGTTGATGTCTGTATCATGCAGAGATGGGGAAAGCTCGACATGATGACGTGATATTATACCCTGAAGCACGTCAGGCCGTGAGAACTGATATTCTCTTTATCTGTATCATCAGTCTATCCATCAGAAAGAAGTCACACAACAGTCTGTGTGACTTTGAATGAACGAAATATCAATGAATATCGAGCATAGCAATGCATTACGATTTTCATGTGAAATACAAACTTAAAAGTTTTTCCTTGAAATTCAATAGTTTGGTTGCCACTCTCGTCAATCCCCAGATACTTGCTAACATTAAATTGATTGTATTACCTATGTAATTGACGTTTACCATGGTAACCAGTCAGTCTACAGTAAGTTTAGCCCTAAAGTATAACTAGCTTTGTTATAAGGCTTTGCGGAATAACATCCTCGTGACGGCTTGGTCCTACTTTTGTTTGGAGGATACATATCTAGTAAAGGTCACAAACAATGATAACTTGTAGATATTTGACACCTAAATGTATATATTTGTGTCATCCAAATGATAATTCATGTTGGTCTGCGTTCCACTTATAAGCGGATTCCTTCAGTTCAGGGTGAGATTTTTGGACAGATATTACTTAACCTTTGATTGATTCGGTTTGTTGTTATCTAGCACTTGTCGACCCTACCACTGTCTGCCGTTTAGTGGTAGTAAAGCGCTGAATTTAGGTCTTGTTTACTGCCTGTTGAAATACCAGGAAGGATTTATATATCAACATCTGTCATCAATCTCCTGGTAATGAGGACTTTTTTGTTGGACCACAGGGCATGCACTGTACAACCCCCAGCGTTGTATCTCAGCTCTTCGGATCTTTTTAACTTCTTATTTAGTGCTAAGACCTCTACTTATCAATTTGCCGTAAGTGTAATTAGTAGAGATGTGGTAAATGAGAGAACGTGGCTTGTATTGACTCAGCTGCTGCGCCGGAGTAAATCAAACGTGCTCCGTTACACCAATGATAATATATTTGTCTGAGTTAATGCAGTGTTGAATTATATTCTGTTGGGTGTTCAAGGTTACAGAGCTGATATTTTGTACATTGAAATTGCGTGGTTTAAGGTCATGCTGTAAAGTGTTGTCAGAAATGGGAAACTCTTGTTTTTATAACCTCTGTAATATCATATGGTAGAGGCTGGAGGCAGGATTTTACATCATGGATGAACTTTGAGTTAAGGGAGGGGGTGGGGGGAAGGGGGGAGGGGAGCGCCAACGGTGGACGGCGGATAGGCAGAGAAAACAGTGTTGGCCTGGGCTTTAATCTATTATAATCTCAACACCTCAACCTCAGTATATTACTTTTACCATTCAAATATTGCATTGCACTTGCTTGAAGAGAGAAGAACGTGTCTTATAGATGTAATGTACTTTGATTAAATAATTGCTATAGGAGAACAGACAAGATCGGGTTTTAATGAAACAAATTTTAAAAATGATACCCCTGAGTTTGGGCAGGATTGTAGTTACTGAAGACACCATGTAACGAGGCCTGATTAATAAATTATGATCCTCATATCTAAGGGTTTTTACTTCTGGCGGATATATCGCATTAATTTTTCATCATTATCCTTTCCCTTCACGTTCTATACACTTTTAGGGTCTGAATGCCACTCTTAAAGAAGTCCTATTCTTGACCATTCAGAAAGTCCTCCTTTCATGTGTGATATCAATTTTGGAAATAGATGAAAGTCTGATGGAGCGAGATCTGCTGAATAAGGAGGATGCTCAATCAGTTCAAAACCACAATCGTTAAAAACAACGAAGTCCGCCTGGTGTGCCTCTGATCATTGGGTTGAGAGTTTTCTCATTGCAAGATCTTTCGTATAGATGGAATGTACTCTTTCCTGTGAAATCCCAACTGTACTGGCTATATCTCTCTGTAACTCGCCTGTCAGCCATAACAATATCAGGGAATTTTATTGACCATTTCTTGGGTTGCAACAGTGACAGGCCTTCCAGGACGGGCGTCATCCCCAAGGCTCTATCTGCAACGCTCAAATTCCGCCACCTACTTTTTCCACTGTAACATATGAAGGGGCATCATTTCCAAGTGTTGCTACCATATCAGTATAGATATCCTTACATGCTAGAACATTCTTATGCAAAGAATGAATCGATGTTCTTTCACCGTTTTTTTTTTTTTGTCCATTTTGCAAAAGTCACTTGCCTTGTTTACTGTAGAGTACTACCTCTTCGACATAAACTGACCAAATAACACCAGTATTCGGGTACAAAGCCTTATAGTCAGGGAATAGGAAAGCTGTAAAAGGACATCCCTGATTAACTCCTTCAACACAAGTCTCACAACTTATCAACCCGCCCTCGTGTACACCACATACATGATTCCTAGTAGAGTATGTCAGTGTTGTTTTGTTTGCCCTTGGGGATGTGAAAGTCATGTAAAGCGATGTATCTGTATTCATTGTACTATGTTCTTGGATTCGAATCGATTTGTGGACGAGACATGTTAAAGCGACGTTCACAATGTGTCAATAATTCGCAAGAAAGGCTATTATGAAAGTGAAACTAGCCTCAATACTAAATTTAGTAGTGTTTACATAACCAACCATGTCCAGAGGGTTCAATGTGACTTCAAACTTCATTTTCAGATCTTCACATTAGAAATATTGTCTCATGTTCTTGTGATTCAATTTCGGCGAAAAATTTGCACAGCTGCTTTCTTCAACTTTATGAAGCTTGACTCCCTCTATTTTCGACGTATCAAATGGATTACAAATTAAACGTTTAATTTCCTTTTTTATTTAACAGAGAAAATCTAGAGACAGGGACCAGTCCAATCTTTCTCCTAACCTTTTCTGTTATATTTCGATGTAATCATGACGATAGACCATGCTAAGAAAAAGGATTGAAATGGAAAAATCGAGTAGTAGGAGGTTAGAATTATCAGAAAGACAAACTGTCATTGATGGCGTAACTTCGTTACAATGTAATCGTGAATACCTCATTTGATAACGATGCTTGTTTCTCATGTTACAGATGAAATGTGAAACGCCACTCCAATAGAAACTTGTATAGCTAATGAGGAGCCCAGAATATGTCCCATGGCCCCAAACGGAGTTCCTCTCTAACAAAATGGAAACCATGGTGTCGAATGAAGACTACGACGCTCTACGTGCTGTTCGTGGTGGTTGCTATGGTGATGTTTTATATGATGTTATCTTTGTCCTCATACAATCACCATACAGCGACACCGAAATATCGAGCTCACCGCAAATATGCGATACACACCATGTATGGAATCGGCGCCGAAAGTGGAATGGCACAGGGGTACTTGAACAAAAGTGCTGAGAATAATTCGAATTTTACACAATTATCAGTGTGGGTAAACCCTGATCTGGATCTTCTACATAAAGTAAGTAGCGAGCTTAAATGATGATAAAGAAATGAAAAATAAAATTTACATCATAATAAAATAAAAATCTTTGATAGCTGACGTTGCTTGGGGCCAAATTATTTTTCATTTCACTAAATAGTAAAGTATTTTTACTTCTCTCTAGGATAAAACATAATAAAAAGATCTCTTCAATTTATGTCGTATTTTAAATAATATTTCAACAATTCATATTTAGTAAACCTACACATTGTCTTTTAAAGTAGGGAAAGTTCCTTCTCCTCATATGTGACTGACCGTCAATATCTCTGTAGACTGACAATAACTAACCAATTATTTTTGTTTGAATTCCATTCCAATGTTTGCCCTGGTTCACTAAACGTCATTTACAGGCACCTTGCATTTTGAAGAACATCGCACCTATTTTATTCTTTCAGGAAAAACCGAATTTTTTGCCCAATTTTAAAAATCCTTGCTGGTATGAACGTTTATATGGATCGGATGTCTACAAGAACAATAAATATTTAGTTGTGTCTCGCTCGGCGAGGCGCAAGTCACTAGATCTAATTAGTGAATGGTCAAAACGGTTATCAGCCACCCCATACACTGCCCAGCGTTTACGTTGTCTACCATACTTTCAAGTGATTGGCCAGCCCAAGTGTGGAAGTACAGATCTCTTCTGGCGAATCATGAGACACAAGGATGCGTTTGCTCCCCCAATAAAGGAGCTTCATTGGTGGAGCAGGAACAGACAAGGTAAGTGACTTCAACTCTTCCCGTTACAGACAGAACTATTTTAACAACGTTCATTTTGAATTTACGAAAATGGTAAAGTATGCAGCGTTATAAATTAAAGCGCGCAAATACGTTTACTTAAGGATGCATGAATATCTGACGGCAAAAATCTTGAAATTTCATCTTTATTTTGGTGGTGTCGGAATCATTTTAAAAAGAATAATGATATATTTCTGTATATTTACCAACAATCATTAGAATATGTATAATAGGAAACAATCATTTTCATACGTTTATTTCATTTCCTATTTTATTTATAGAAAAAATTGTGAATGACAGGTACTCCTTGATATTTTGTAGAGAACTTTCCTCGACTCCCTAGCAAATATCTTTCTAATCCGAAATAGAACGTAACCTTGTCTTGACACTTATTCCAAATAACGACGTCAATTATGACTGTCACGAAATAAGTCCACAGCAAAACACCAAGTTTTAGGCTCAACTTTGGCTGCTGTAGGTACAACTGTAAATAACAAAGAATATAAAAGCACACAAAATGGGATTCATTTTATATTGCACTGAACACGAGTTACATACCTCCTTAAATATATGAACAACTTTTATGCAAATGTAAGATTTTCTTTCCTTTTGCATATAAAGTATTCTTACATGTAACACTATAATGAACCATTCTGAATTGAATTATATCATTAAATCTGCCATTCTGAAGGCAGACAGTAAGCATTGAACCAGATTTACCTAACGGAGGACCGTAAGGCGACTTGCCAAGGGATCGTTATGTTGCTTTTTTTAAACGTGCCAATTTCATTCTTAAAAGTTCTTTTGACATCAAATTTTGCTTCTCGTATAGCATTAAATGAGATGCACAATGACTAATTAGATTTCATTATAATGTGATCGGTTACGTTGCCATGCTTTCGTGTCCAGGTAATGACATTTCAGTGTAATAGCACTATAGAAGCATCCTTGGGCACCATCTCCATATTACATTGACTGTTGCTAAGACTTTAACCCATGTAACCGGCGCTATACGGTAAGATTTACTTGGTTAGAAAAAAAAGAGTTCACATTGTGACTGTGTATATTTTCACGATACTGCCTTGAAACAAAGGTAAATAACGATTGTGTATATTTTGTATGGTGATATACATGTACTAATGTTAAGAGAGCATTAGGTGAAATGATAGGTCTAGGTTAGGGCTACAGTTTAAATACTGCAGTAATGCTTTGCTGAAACTATCCTTACCATATGCACATGTATAATACATTACCATTATGGCTGAGGTATATTCTATGAAGGTGAATAGGACTGGTTGTCTATAAAGATGATCAGTGTATTTCTAAATAATGTTCTTCTTTCTGGAAAGGACGTTTGTGAAGACTTGAGTTCCGTTTTAGGAATAGTCGCAGTGTATAATCGTGAAAACTCTAGGTTTCGTTTTTTTCGTTGCAGGCAAGAACGTCAACTTCACAGATATCATTCCATTCGAGCAATACACCGACATGTTTGATGAGGCGGCGCTACATATAGAGGAGTCTCCAGAAACAGAAGATCAGGACGTAAAATATTACAATAAAATACTAGGTAATATATAGCACTTAGGTTTTACTCGACATTAAGATGCTATATAATTTCTAGCATTTAAATGTATCTCGACAATAAAATTTCAAATAATTTAAAGCACTTAAATGTACCTGGACAATAAAATGCTACAAAACGACTCAACAATAAAATGCAACATCATTTATAACACTAAGGTGTGACTCGACAATAAAATACTTTATATTTTGTAATACTTGGACCAGCTATAGAAGTATGCGACACCTGTTTAATGTGTTAATCATTATATGACTTGATTGTTATTAATACGTGTACAGGTGAGGCGAGCGTGTCGACATTCTGGGAAAATGATGACTGGTATCATTATCCAGAGAATATGTACCACGAAGAGCCAATCTACACGAACGCCGACTATGTCAGGAAGCTCCTCCCTAACAGCAAGCTCATTCTACTTCTGCGTGATCCTATAGACAGGTGAGAATATTCACTGTTGTTCTTGTATGTTTTGTAATGATGAACAACTACTGAACAGCTGATAGTGGTAAGACTACTGAACAGTTGACAGTGGTAACACGAATGAACAGCTGACATAGGTATTATACATACTGAACAGCTGACATAGGTATACATACTGAACAACTGACATAGGTATACATACTTAACAGCTGACATAGGTATACATACTGAACAGCTGACATAGGTATACATACTGAACAGCTGACAGTTTTAAGACTAATGAACAATTGCCAGTGGTAAATCTACTGAACAACTGTCAGTGGTAAGACTACTGAACAGTTGACAGTGGTAAGACTACTAAACAGCTGACAGTGGTAAGACTACTAAACAGCTGACAGTGGTAAGATTACTAACAGCTGACAGTGGTAAGATTACTAACAGCTGACAGTGGTAAGATTACTAACAGCTGACAGTGGTAAGATTACTAACAGCTGGCAGTGGTAAGACATGAAGAAACAGCTGACAGTGTTAAGACTAATGAACAGCTGACAGTGGTCAGACGAATTAACAGCTGATAGTGGCAAGACTACTGAACAGCTGACAGTGGTCAGACGAATTAACAGCTGTCAGTGGTAAGATTACTGAATACTTTATATATGAAATGTTCGCCTTATGACCGCTGATTATTTTAAGAAATTCTTTATGACATTTCAATACATAAAGACGTAATATAAAGATGAAATTAAATCGAGTTTTCGTTTTTTACAGCTGTCAGTGGTAAGATTACTGAACACTTTATATATGAAATGTTCGCCTTATGACCGCTGATTATTTTAAGAAATTCTTTATGACATTTCAATACATAAAGACGTAATATAAAGATGAAATTAAATCGAGTTTTCGTTGTTTTACTTAAAGAGATCAATTTACGTGGTCTGAGTTTTTGGCATTGTTTTAGATTTAAATCTGAATTGTTAAACGAAATAAATATCTTTACGATAAATCAGAACTGACGGTTTTAATGCTGTACACATCACGCAAAGCTGTCGGAAAAGTCCGAGAACAACTCGCAGTTACGTTGTGTTGACACCTCGTAAAGTCATCAGTCAGAGAACCAAGCATAAGAACGGCTGGCATTGGCGGCCTGTTATGTTTGGTACTCACGTCTGCTGGAATCATGTCGGTCGGGATAGTTTACACATGATGGGATCGCCGACACCTTTTCACATAACCTTCTCAGTCTGTAGCCATATGTTACTGGGTTGCTTTGTCTACAGTGGCGTGACATTTACGGTCGGAATCGTCTGCGTTCCACCTGACATGGTATCACTTCTAAACAGAGACCTACATAGTCCTTTGTCGATTTCTGTTTCCTGGATTTTTCAGTTGAAGAAGTCTGTTTCATTGCATCTGGTCTTTTGTGTGTTTAATTGAATTAGAAGGGCACAGTTATATATTCCTAACAACGGACGTTATACTTTTCTGTAGATGAAACCTCCTTTGATCCTATAACAAGTAGTGTGGTTATCGCCACCAAAGAATACATTTCATTTTTCAATGTTTGAGAAAATGGTCTGCTTAATTTGCAGTACATGCCCACCGGTGTATAAAAACATCGTTTATTGAAAACATTAATAAGTATATAGTTGCTCGATCACAAACAACGTATTTTTTAAAGTGACATGCATCACTGGCAGTTATTGGTTACCGTAATACTCTGGCATGCCGCCTAGGTATTAGACAAAAGTTGTCAAGTTGTCTGATGTATGTATAAAACAATGATAAAGTACGTATGATGAGAGCCCGATGCAGGCATGAAACTCGGCAGGGCTATCTTCACATTACCCTCTACAATATATCGTGTTCCGCCATTCTAATTAGAAATTAAGTTCCTGTCTAGTCTTTTGGCTCACGTGTTTCCGCTGTACTGCGATATCTATCAATAATGTCTTTCCGTGTATCTGCTTTTTACACTGTAAATGTTGTAACAAGTTAGACGAGATATGATTTATAGTATTAGAATCATATCAACGGGAAGTAAATTTTGACATTACCGGACACACTAGATCGACAAATAAAATGGTGCTATGGTTAACTCCATTGTAAGATTTTTCTCAACAGTGGATCATCACAATAAGACAGGAGATCGAGGATATCAGTTTTAACAGAAAAAAAATATTAAGAAATGTAATTAGGCAAGTCAGTAAAGAAACGGTTTGAGAATTTTTGCTTTTTTCTTGACTTCTGTATTAAACACGAGGAGGGTCCATATCCTTATCACTAACTGTTAATACTAAGACTATATATAAATATTAGTGAACCATGATTACAAAACATGTAGCTGGTATTTCTTCTGGGGACAATTTGATAATATGTATACAGTGGTTCCTTTGTTATCATGCAAGTAAGGTCTGTTTTGTGTTCAGATCTGTTCCAGAAGTATTGTGAACAGTGACATTTGCATTCCATTTGCCCACCAAATTATTGATAGTGACGTCCTCAATTTATAACATATATTGATTTTGTCGTCATCAGAAATGCATTTTAATTGCAAGTTAACCCCAATGTTTTTCTATTCTTGTGAATACCTCGTGGATTATATATAGTGTTTTCAAATATATAAATAGAATGTAGAACACTGCGATCATGTTATTATGTTGTTTTTTCACTACACGATGAAAAGAATCATGAATGTTTTTACAGAGTAATAATCATCATTCTTGTATTTGTATTTATTTAATCGCGTAGAGTAATGGTACATGTATCAATATGTATTACAACATTAAGACATTTGTATCATTAAAAATGTATTTCAAAACAATTAGACACGTGTATCAATAGACAGGTATATTAAAATAAGACGCCTGTATCAATAGACAGGTATATTAAAATGATAAGACGCCTGTATCAAAAGACAGGTATATTACAACAATATATCACAAATGTTTGACATTTGGGTCCATGTTCATGTCGCTGACGAAAGAAAACAACAAAAATAAAAGAACTCCATCAACATTGACACGAAATGTGTATTAATAATTGAAGGGATTACATAATACTTCGTTATTGTGACTCCGTGTTACGGCGATGATTGCTGCTGTAACTTGACAGAGTCTTTAATTTATACTCTTTAGGAGCAAGTCTTGATTTGATTACTAAAGCACGCGCTCCCTGCAGTCAGCCTTTAGACTACACGTGTGACCTAACGCTTTATATAATGTGGTTATAAGCACATATTATACAAGACAGAAGGTAAACGTCAGAAAACGGCACTTTTGAAATGTATACTGTTGTGATTAATCCATACGAAACAGGTGGCTCCTTGTGTACTGTTATACGTCAAGTCTGTTGCTCGAGTATACGCTGATCCACTCTGTAAAGGGAAATAACTTCATCTCCAACATAATATGTATCTTCACAAGTAGTCATGTGGCATGTACAGTTTATATATGTATAATCTGTAATAGTTCATAATTATTAGACGGACAAGATAGAGCAGAGAAGCTACTTAGTAGCGTTTTAGTATACGTTAGCTCTCTTAATTCACAAATGAAAGATATTTATTAGATAATATCTTGGGAACACACAATAATGACAGAAATGTTGTATGTGAATCTTACGACTTCCGTACTTTAAGGATATTTAAACGGGCTATGTTTTTATTTCAGGTTATTTTCAGACTATCTGTATTTTAATTTGGGAGAGAAATCGTCTGAGGCTTTCCATCAGCGGATGGTAAACGGTATAGCGGTATACAAGAATTGTACGGAAACTCACAGTAAGCGCTACTGTGTGTACAACAGACATGTAGCTCTCCAGTCAGCCGTAAGTGCCACTTGCTGTCGAAATATGATGTAGCATAATGAAACGGAAATTTAATAAAAGTAAAAGTGGAACCTAAAAAATCTCTCCAGAGAAATGTTCTTCAACATGCATCAAAAAGACTGGCAGTCGTTTTTCAACTCTTTAAAACGCAATTGCACTTGCTAAACTCACGTCATCAGAATCTAAAAATAAATAAACATCACGCACGAAATATAAATAAGAAATAAAAGATAGAATGGCCGAGGAAAACACATACCTACTTAGACAGTAATTTATTTTTGTTTACAGACCAGACTAAGGGTTGGGCTATACGTAATCTACCTTAGAGACTGGCTGAAAGTATTTCCACGTGAACAGCTGTTGATTTTACGTCTGGAGGATTATTCTAAAGACCTTGCCGGTGTTATAAAGAAAGTGTTCAACTTCCTGAAATTGCGTAAGTTATTTAAGGATTAGCCACTGGTATTAGCCTTGTCTGTCAACCAATGGGATCATCCGCCTGCCAAAACAACCCAATTATCGGAAATTTGCGATTTTCACTTAATTGTTCATGATATCTCGCTGGGAGTTGGGGGTGGGGGTTGGGTGATGGGGAGTCTGAATCAACAGATAGATTATTTCTCTTTTCTTTGATATACTTAATGTATAATTCACTGAATATTTTGACGTCAAACTGTCGCCAGATTTAATGAAACATCGTTAAATTGTCAGTTAGTCAGACAGTAGTGTGGCAGCGAAATCAAACACTGAATGCCTGTAAATAAGCTTATCAAACAGCTTCACATGACACGTACGCTATTCAACTTTGATGTTATGTACTGACTTATGTAAGGGCTATTTCTGTTTCTTGTGTAATACTCTCAATAAGTGCAGCGCAGATTCAACATTCCCAGTGCAATGCCTAAATGATATCGATATACACAAAAGGATATTTTTGGAACATGTTGTCTCGTCTTTTGAAGATGTTGAACATTTGCACCACGACTCCATTTCCTCAAGCGGAAATGGCTTCATTAAGAATGTGTTTAAAATCTGACCTTCAATGTTCAACAGAAAAACGCAGAGATTAGAAAGAGTATTCAACTAAATCAGTAATTGATCATTCTAAAACTTCATTGAAGTTGAATCCCGTACATATCATTTGGAGGTGTTTATGAAACTGCTTTGATTTCCCGCCAGATATCTGCCCAACTAACCTCAATTTGACTATTTAAGGACAATGTTTGATGATATATGGTAAGTCATATAACAACAACAAACAAAAAAACAAAAACCACACACACAATCATTTGTCGATTCAGATCACTCTTAGTGGGATATCTCGATCAGTATAGTAACAGTTACCAATCTCTCTAATCGTGTCACGAGACTGATAAAGTATACAGTCGAGGCTCATCACTATCTGTGGATTTACATTCTGTTTTGATTGGGTCATCATAGAGACTACTTATAAATACTGTAAAATGCTACAGATGGACATGTCAGTAATATAAGTGTTACAGAAGGTGGCGTGACGTCACTTCATATGATGAAATATAAATATGTGTATAAAGATTAGTGTGTGAACAACTCTAATACTTTAAAGTAACATATAGAATTAGAATAAGGCGGAGTTTACACAGCAGCGTATTGGTCTGGTAGGTTGAATATTCAGAATCATTACTGATAACTGAATACCATTTTGTTTGTTTCAGGCAAACTAACCGATACAGAATTTAATCACGTTATCCACGTCCCAATTGCCAATGGAAGAAAGAATAAAGACAAACGAGTTGGACAAATGCTTGACAAGACTAAACAACTGTTACAGGAGTTTTATGAACCATACAATCTAGAACTAGCCGCTCTACTTGGGGACGACAGATTTCTCTGGTCATCAGGAGGAAAGTCGGACGAAACGGAGAAGGAGGATAATGAAACGGAGGAGGAAGTGGAGGATAATGAAACGGAAGATGAAATATCAAAAGCACATGTGAAAACAAATTACAAGAGTAAAACTAAAGACGACAGTGACAAATCACGTGATCACACTGATCCATCACGTGATGATACTGACCACGCACGTGATGAGACTGATCAATCGCTTGACGATAATGAGCCAGCAGATGATGACACTAATTCGCCAAGGCATGGGAAACAACATTCGGCTACATCCAAGAAAAATAATGATGAACAGGATGATCGTAGCGAGAATATAAGATCAACAAAACAGGGAGAGGAGGAGGGTGGCGACAGGATTGAGGACACTGTCACATATAATCGTGTAATGTCCGCCATAAAAAAGGCAAAATCAAATTCGGAATATTATTACTCGGGATACAAATAATTTCTGAGTGATAACATAAGAAAAGAGCATGCTGTGATATCGCTTCAAGTGGACCAAGCAATATTTGTGTGAACTGTTTATATGTACTTGTAATACTTTGTAAGTAACTTAAGGTGCTTTCAATCCAATATGGATGAAGCGGAATTGGACCAATAATCATGTCTTCCATAATGACATAACCAAAATGATTTTTATACAAGCTTCTTTTATAGACACAATCGTAAGAACTAACAGTACCCCGGCTTTCGAAGCCATATTTTTACTTGGGGTATAATTTTCGTTAAAACGATATTCGCTTTGATCGTGTAGGAAAGAATGCGCCGTTGTCATGTGTCGTGAATTAGTGAGGATTTCACGATTCGGAAGTTGACCTAATACAGTCAAACTGTGTTTACTAAGCTTACGTGTGTTAGCCACGTGACAGTAGTATGGTTTGTTGGCGCCAGGTTAAAGACAATGGATAGATGGTATGTAAAGGATTTGTGGTCTTTTTTAGTAGTATGTTTCGATTATGGTAGGTAGGAGACATGTATGACTTGTTGTCGCCTTGTAATTACACACAAGTAGATGCGGGATCTAATTAGCGTCTAGTAGATACAAGACGATTCACGCATGCTTTGTTAACACCAGTTATGTGAAAGACAACAATTGACCATACTTGACAAAATATGATTTAAGTGGCGTCTGGTAGTACTCGCATCATCAGATGTACATGACCCATAGTCAACAAAAGTCAACAGCCGGAAAGGCTTTGCCATCCTCTGCTTTCTAGTACTCGCTAGGAAACTAAAACCATGACAAACAATTCAAGGTATTGCATGCAATATACACTTGGCTTCAGTAATTTGTTTCTTGCCAATTTATCGTATCCAGGCACCTGTTCATATTGCCTGAAAACATTATCATATTTACCTATGTATTTATTTATTGTTTGTGTTTTTATCTTCTCACTAGGATTTTGCACCATGATTTTGATTATATTTGCTCATCGTATTAAATTTTGAGGTTGTTTAAATGAATGCATATTTTAAAGCATTATAGTTTTAATATGATTTGCTCATTAGCCGTAGTGTGGTGTTGAATAATGTCCGGTAATTCTCTATTTCGTTCCGAAAGAATGTTCCAAAACGAGATTGAAAACATTTTTTTTTTTCTAAAATAACAATCAAATGTGTATTTTTCATCATACACGATATTCCATATTTAGCTGTTACACGTAAATTTGTCTTATTTTACAAAGTAAGTAATCCAATTTACTCCAAGAGCGCACTCGCTCCTCTTTTAATTCGTTTGGAGTTTTAGAAGTATAAAGTGAATATTTAAGTAAGTCCAAAAGGTCAAGAGTTGTCTTTCTTCTCATTGTGATAGTAAGTGTTAGGAAAGACAACTCCCAAAACCAGAAGTCTCGAATGTTCAGGCGTGTATTAACGATATATTCATAGGCTAATATTTAGTTTTCCGAAACGGCTTGCTTTCATCTGCTCAAACGTGCAATGCATATGTGATGACTGCATTCCTAAGTTGACGTGCACACATTCGGTTACTATATATATATATATACCACCGCTTCTAGCTTGGGTCAGTACAACTAGTCACATGATAAAATACAGTATGTTTTATTTTACTAAAATATGCTAGTTGTATTGGATACCAATTCTGACCAAGTCGCTTGTGGAACGTTCGGAACTCTCCATCATTACATATAAATCTAAAGGCATCCCTCATGGTTTGTATTTTTGATACGTGTGACACTTACATGAGAATCTCTTCCCGCCTTGTCATTAGACTGTTTTTATTTCACGTCGATACGTTTTAGTATCCATGTTTGTTTTTTAAGGTGATGGTCTATGTTTTGTTGATAATAATGTGCAATTAAAGGTAACGTTCAGACATCTTGCAATATTTTACGAAAAAATGCATATATGCTTTACTTTTATTAGATGTCAAAGCGTTTGAATACGTTGACAGTACGTCATCAACAGGAAGTAAATACTAACATAGGACATAGTCCAAACTCACGAGCTTTATACCTTTTTGAATAGTCCAAACTCACGAGCTTTATACCTTTTTGAATAGTCCAAACTCACGAGCTTTATACCTTTTTGGAACACCAGCTGACTGATACACCGAATGATAAGTAATTCGTTTGAGTTCTAATAATACTACTGTGGTTACAATGTTAATTAAATATTTCTGTTTTACACCTGTCAGGTATTTTAAGAAATATCTTTTATGCAGAATGTGAAATGTTTCAATGAAAACCCCGGTGTAGAGCTACATTACACTATACTATGAGCCTCCATGGAAAAATATTCTGAAATACTCATTGGACATTTTAGAATATTTCCATTATTTGAAAAATGTGTTACGATGTATGTCAATAAATCGTGGTCTACCTAATCATTTTGTTGTTGTTTGTATATTTTGTTGTTGTTTGTAGACACATTTAATACGGGATATAAATCATGTGTACCTGTCTAATAGAGAGAGATGCTGGAGAAATATGTGAGGAAAGTAAATACTGTAACAGCCAGTTATTTTCTTCTATACATACACGTAAGGACACTGATATATGAACGATGTATATGTCGGTGAATATTTCAGACGTTAAGTATTAAAAGCTACCACTATACATGGCTATGTGTATCCTGTTACATCGGATATACAAGGATCTAACACCAGATATAGTCGGACACTTCATCACTTAACTTATCAGGGAACCAATTCCTTGATTAAAAGGACCGGTCATCGTGTTGAAACCAGATTTGTTTCATTTGTTCTAGGAAATACACCCTCGATGGTCCAGGGCTTACTCTCTGCACCCCTGGAACATGCCATGGCAGAATTGAAACCACAAGCGAAATAATTTGATCAGTTATAGGAGAAGAAAACCTGATACCCTCCTTCAGAAGATTACAAAAATTACCCTAGGAGTATCGAGGTGTAGTGATTGTAACCCCTGGAGTATCGAGGTGTAGTTATTGTAACCCCTGGAGTATCGAGGTGTAGTGATTGTAACCCCTGGAGTATCGAGGTGTAGTGATTGTAACCCCTGGAGTATCGAGGTGTAGTTATTGTAACCCCTGGAGTATCGAGGTGTAGTGATTGTAACCCCCGGAGTATCGAGGTGTAGTGATTGTAACCCCTGGAGTATCGAGGTGTAGTGATTGTAACCCCTGGAGTATCGAGGTGTAGTGATTGTAACCCCTGGAGTATTGATGTGTAGTGATTGTAACCCCCGGAGTATCGAGGTGTAGAGGTTGTAACCCCTGGAGTATCGAGGTGTAGTGATTTTAACTCCTGGAGTATCGAGGTGTAGTTATTGTAACCCCTGGAGTATCGAGGTGTAGTGATTGTAACCCCTGGAGTATCGAGGTGTAGTGATTGTAACCCCTGGAGTATCGAGGTGTAGTTATTGTAACCCCTGGAGTATCGAGGTGTAGTGATTGTAACCCCTGGAGTATCGAGGTGTAGTGATTGTAACCCCTGGAGTATCGAGGTGTAGTTATTGTAACCCCTGGAGTATCGAGGTGTAGTGATTGTAACCCCTGGAGTATCGAGGTGTAGTGATTATAACCCCTGGAGTATCGAGGTGTAGTGATTGTAACCCCTGGAGTATCGAGGTGTAGTGATTGTAACCCCTGGAGTATTGATGTGTAGTGATTGTAACCCCTGGAGTATCGAGGTGTAGTGATTGCAACCCCTGGAGTATCGAGGTGTAGTGATTGTAACCCCTGGAGTATCGAGGTGTAGTTATTGTAACCCCTGGAGTATCGAGGTGTAGTGATTGTAACCCCTGGAGTATTGATGTGTAGTGATTGTAACCCCCGGAGTATCGAGGTGTAGTGGTTGTAACCCCTGGAGTATCGAGGTGTAGTAATTTTAACCCCTGGAGTATCGAGGTGTTGTGATTGTAACCCCTGGAGTATCGAGGTGTAGTGATTGTAACCCCTGGAGTATCGAGGTATAGTGATTGTAACCCCTGGAGTATCGAGGTATAGTCATTGTAACCTCTGGAGTATCAAGGTGTAGGGATTGCAACCCCTGAAGTATCGAGGTATAGTGATTGTGACCCCTGGAATATCGAGGTGAAGTGATTGTAACATCTGGAGAATCGATGTGTAGTGATTGTGACCCCTGGAATATCGAGGTGAAGTGATTGTATCCCCTGGAGTATCGAGATGTAGTAATTGTAACCCCTGGAGTATCGAGGTGTAGTGACTGTAACCCCTTGAGTATCGAGGTGTAGTGACTGTGACCCCTAGAGTATCGAGGTGTAGTGATTGTAACCCCTGGAGTATCGAGGTGTAGTGATTGTAACTCCTGGAGTATCAAGTTGTAGTGATTGTAACCCCTGGAGTATCGAGGTGTAGTGATTGTAACCCCTGGAGTATCGAGGTGTGGTGATTGTAACCCCTGGAGTATCGAGATGTAGTGATTGTAACCCCTGGAGTATCGAGGATGTAGTGATTGTAACCCTTGGAGTATCGAGGATGTAGTGATTGTAATCCTGGAGTATCGAGGTGTAGTGATTGTAACCCCTGGAGTATCGAGATGTAGTAATTGTAACCCTTGGAGTATCGAGGTGTAGTGACTGTAACCCCTTGAGTATCGAGGTGTAGTGACTGTGACCCCTAGAGTATCGAGGTGTAGTGATTGTAACCCCTGGAGTATCGAGGTGTAGTGATTGTAACTCCTGGAGTATCAAGTTGTAGTGGTTGTAACCCCTGGAGTATCGAGATGTAGTGATTGTAACCCCTGGAGTATCAAGGTGTAGTGATTGTAACCCCTAGAGTATTGAGGTGTAGTGATTGTAACCCCTGGAGTATCGAGGTGTAGTGATTGTAACCCCTGGAGTATCGAGGTGTGGTGATTGTAACCCCTGGAGTATCGAGATGTAGTGATTGTAACCCCTGGAGTATCGAGGATGTAGTGATTGTAACCCCTGGAGTATCGAGGTGTAGTGATTTCAACCCCTGGAGTATCGAGGTGTGGTGATTGTAACACCTGGAGTATCGAGATGTAGTGATTGTAACCCTTGGAGTATCGAGGATGTAGTGATTGTAACCCCTGGAGTATCGAGGTGTAGTGATTGTAACCCCTGGAGTATCGAGGTGTAGTGATTGTAACCCCTGGAGTATCGAGGATGTAGTGATTGTAACCCCTGGAGTATCAAGGTGTAGTGATTGCAACCCCTGGAATATCGAGGTGAAGTGATTGTATCCCCTGGAGTATCGTGATGTAGTAATTGTAACCCCTGGAGTATCGAGGTGTAGTGACTGTAACCCCATGAGTATCGAGATGTAGTGATTGTAACCCCTGGAGTATCGAGGATGTAGTGATTGTAACCCCTGGAGTATCGAGGTATAGTGATTGTAACCTCTGGAGTATCAAGGTGTAGTGATTGCAACCCCTGGAATATCGAGGTGAAGTGATTGTATCCCCTGGAGTATCGTGATGTAGTAATTGTAACCCCTGGAGTATCGAGGTGTAGTGACTGTAACCCCATGAGTATCGAGATGTAGTGATTGTAACCCCTGGAGTACCAAGGTGTTATGATTATAACGCCTTGAGTATCGAGGTGTAGTGATTGTAATCCATGTAGTATCGAGGTGTAGTGATTGTATCCCCTGGAGTATCGAGGTGTAGTGATTGTGACCCCTGTAGTATCGAGGTGTATTGATTGTAGCCCATTGAGTATCGAGTTATAGTGATTGTAACCCCTCTAGTATCTAGGTGTAGTGGTTCTAACCCCTGGAGTATCGAGATGTAGTGATTGTAACCCCTGGAGTATTGAGGTGTAGTGATTGTAACCCCTGTAGTATCAAGGTGTAGTGATTGTAACCCCTAGAGTATTGAGGTGTAGTGATTGTAACCCCTAGAGTATCGAGGTGTAGTGATTGTAACCCCTGGAGTATCGAGGATGTAGTGATTGTAACCCCTGGAGTATCGAGGTATAGTGATTGTAACCTCTGGAGTATCAAGGTGTAGTGATTGCAACCCCTGGAATATCGAGGTGAAGTGATTGTATCCCCTGGAGTATCGTGATGTAGTAATTGTAACCCCTGGAGTATCGAGGTGTAGTGACTGTAACCCCATGAGTATCGAGATATAGTGATTGTAACCCCTGGAGTACCAAGGTGTTATGATTATAACGCCTTGAGTATCGAGGTGTAGTGATTGTAATCCATGTAGTATCGAGGTGTAGTGATTGTATCCCCTGGAGTATCGAGGTGTAGTGATTGTGACCCCTGTAGTATCGAGGTGTATTGATTGTAGCCCATTGAGTATCGAGTTATAGTGATTGTAACCCCTGTAGTATCTAGGTGTAGTGGTTCTAACCCCTGGAGTATCGAGATGTAGTGATTGTAACCCCTGGAGTATTGAGGTGTAGTGATTGTAACCCCTGTAGTATCAAGGTGTAGTGATTGTAACCCCTGGAGTATTGATGTGTAGTGATTGTAACCCCTGGAGTATTGAGGTGAAATGATTGTAACCCATGGAGTATTGAGGTGTAGTGATTGTAACCCCTGGAGTATTGAGGTGTAGTGATTGTAACCCCTTGGGTATCGAGGTGTAGTGATTGTAACCCCTGGAGTATCGAGGATGTAGTGATTGTAACCCCTGAAGTATCGAGGATGTAGTGATTGTAACCCCTGGAGTATCGAGGTGTAGTGATTGTAACCCCTGGAGTATGGAGGTATAGTGATTGTAACCCCTGCAGTATCGAGTTGTAGTGATTGTAACCCCTGGAGTATCGAGGTGTGGTGATTGTAACCCCTGGAGTATTGATGTGTAGTGATTGTAACCCCTGCAGTATTGAGGTGTAGTGATTGTACCCCCTGGAATATCAAGGTGTAGTGATTGTAATCCCTGGAGTATTGAGGTGTAGTGATTGTAACCCCTGGAGTATCGAGGTCTAGTGATTGTAACCCCTGGAGTATTGATGTGTAGTGATTGTAACCCCTGGAGTATTGCGGTGTAGTGATTGTAACCCCTGGAGTATTGATATGTAGTGATTGTAACCCCTGGAGTATTGATGTGTAGTGATTGTAACCCCTGGAGTATCGAGGTGTAGTGATTATAGTCCCTGGAGTATCGAGGATGTAGTGATTGAAACCCCTGGAGTATCGAGGTGTAGTGATTGTAACCCCTGGAGTATCGAGGTGTAGTGATTGTAACCCCTGGAGTATCGAGATGTAGTGATTGTAACCCCTGGAGTACCGAGGTGTAGTGATTGTAACCCCGAAAGTATCGAAGATGATATTGCCAATGCTACGTACAATCCCGCATCACATTTTCCGAGATCACCGAAAGTCGGAACTTTCTACTTGCATTTTTAATTCCGTTTCTTCAATTATTTTCCCATTTATTAGCTTTTATTGGAAGTTCAAAGAAAA